TAAAAGGGGAGCTCGCGTACGACGTGACATGGGCGGCGTGAGCCCCAAGAGCCGCAGCAGGGTAGCCCGGCGCCTGTGTGGTGAAGGCAGAGCTCTGTCCCGGGGAGAGATCATGGTTGAGCTTAAACGCACCCATGTGTGCGGAGTCCACAAAGCTGTTTTGTGCCAAACTCAAGTCTCTGTCCTGCATCTCGCTCGCTGAGTGATGCCTGGCGAAGGACCCCACTCCCAGTCCGGGGAACTGGTGACCAGCGTCCAGTAACATAATGTCAGTTAGGGGGATACTGTTAGCTATAAATCAGATGCAGCGAATAAGTTCAAGAAGAGAAAAGAAAATCAAACGTTGATGCTGGTGGGCAACGATTCAACTTCCAGCCTTGGAAACACCATATCAGACGGGCTTCAAAACTCAGCTCCTCTCATCAGGAAAGAAAAAAAAATCAGCTCGGATTATCGAATTTACTTCTATTTAAGTTGTGCGTAAAAAAGAAAAAAATCCAAATGTAACGAAATGAGGAGTTTCCTTGTGTCCTCTTCTCTCGGATTCGTTCAAATGCACTCGAAGAATTAAATAATTATCTTACTGGGTGTCCTCTGTGCGCGCAGAGCGAGAGTTCGTTGGAGCATCTCAGAAATCGCTGCTCCAATTGGGTATGTATTTATGTCTCTGGCTCGCCCGTGTTTATCGCGGAGGGTCCCTGTTACTCCGTGGACTGACTCTACCTCCTCTTCCGCCCCCTTTAACTGGAGCCCGTTCATTCATTGCGCGCAGTCTCATTGGCCACTGCGCCTCATCAATCCCAGGTGCCCATCCAATAGCAGGTAGCGCTTGGGCGACTTAATAGTGCAACGCCATTTTCCACTAATAATTACCGCCTACTTTTTAGGAGAAGATTTGGAGGGGGTGTACGAGCGAGAGGATCACGACGAGAGAGAGGAGAGGACGTGGATTTGTTGTTTATGTCCAGTGGGTGCCAAGTTGTAGTGGGTATGAAAGATAAATGTATGGAATTTGATGAGAATTTAGAAGATTTTAGACGTTTTTTTTTTAGATCGGGAGAGAAGAAAAAGTCAATCAGAGTGGTGGGTTGAAGAAGTGGTTGCTGGGTATTTACTTTATGTAAATAAAACGCAACAGCTCTGTGTATTTTGTACGTGAGAAATGATAAAGGACGTCCATACAGAACAATACAGAGACGTGCTTTAGGCTCACAATAAACCAAAGAGGTATCCAAAATGACACAACATGCGCTAAATGTTCTTTACGCACAGCTGCAAAAGGGATCCGACTTTAAAATGAAATCTGAGCATTTTTTAATCCTAAAAAACGCCAAACATTATTTACATATTTCACTTACTGTAACCTTTTTAAATTTCAAGATACAATCATCAAACCTATTTGGGAAAATCCTCAAGTGATTTTGGATGTACTACAAATTAAATTGTTTCATTTCATCCTGCAGTAACACCTCTCCTTTTACATTTATTTAGATTCAATATTAGGCCAAAACATTTAGGATCATTTGTTAAATAGTTCAACATGTACATTCTGAATGTTGCTTTATGTAAGAATGTATTACTGATTGAAAACGTAAATACACTAGAGATTCAATGAAATGCGACCAAACTGTAACTCTCCGCAGCTGAAACAGCATTTGTGGCTCCATATGGACTCCAGCGGTTTGTTCACTGCTTGTAGAACCACAACTGGGCCTTTAGTAGTGCTCTCTCTCACACACACACACATATGTACGTACACACACACACTCGCTGGTAACCGCTGCAGTGGTTGCTCTTAGTTCTTTTGTTAATGGTTCCATATGTTGCTGGTTCTGCGTCTTCCTCGGTGGTTCTCACGTTCACCACAGCAAATTACGCGACATGTTCTTGGTGGTGAACTGCACTCAGATGCTAGTTAACCATTAGTGACCCGTGAGGTCGAGCCCCCCTCTTCAGCTGACGATCATGAAGTTTTACGCAAAAAAAAAAAAAAAGTGGCATGTTTGCTCGGTTTGGAATGAGTGAAGGTGTTGAGGTGATCCCGTTGGGAATGGGTGTGTACTATTATTTAGTTTGAGCCAATCATAAAAATTAAGCTATAAATTGCATTTTTACATTCTTAACACACATTCTCTTCATTACATGTCCTCTTTCTTAGCACACAATACGTGCAACCACGCTTAAACCTGCCTGAGGGAAGTCATTTTCAGCAAAGATTTGCTTCATTTACTGGCAATTTTCCATTACAAGCATGCACTCAATCTGCGTTTGGAATAGGGATATACAGGCCACACTCCACAGCTGCTCATTCACACTCAAGTGAGAAGAAGTTTTACTCACATTTTCACTGAAGCAGAGTCCCAACAGTCCCGTCTCCACTCTCTCCAAGGCTCTCTTTCTCCCTGCAAAGTGACGATAAAATGTGTGAAGGCGCAAGGAAACGTTTTTACCAAACTTTTTCTGAAATAGTGTGTCTCTAAGCTCAGAGCGGGACAGGCTGTGCGTTGTGTGTGCCATTCTTCCAAGTCCTATTTCAACCCGCACCACAGGAAACTGCAGGAGCTGATCCAAGTTCAAAGTCACGTCTTCCGACCCCTATAAGAAGTTCTTTATTTCTATGGAAAAGCACAAAAACCTTCCCCAGATAGGCAGAAGAGAGAGAAAATTAAAAAGGGGGGAAAAAAATCGTAGGGGTATAGAGGCACATGGCTGCAGGTTTTTCCTACTGAAAGGCTATTGAAAATCCCCCAAAGACCCTCTATTTCAACAGGTTCTAGGGCCAGCTTTACACAATGGGACATAGCCAACAGATGTTACATTTTAAGTGTAGAAATATAACTATATAAAATGTGATCTGAAGTTTTAAATATAACGCAAAGATGGACAATAAAGGCACGAGTCTTGGTCGAAAAATGGGGCTCTGCTTGTGCGTAATAACGGGGGCCAAAGGCGTATTTCAACTCTCTGTTAAATGACAATATCAATATGTTGACACACTGGAAGGTTACTTGTGTGACTTCCGTGACCTTGTGTTTCATGGATGTTTGACCTCTGACCCGTTAAGACCACATATGTTGGCCTCTTGACTCCTTTTGGTAAAATAACCCTGTTTATGACAAAGCGTCTTTGTTTTAAAGCGACAGAGGGAGAGAGAGAGAGAGAGAGAGGGGACGAGAGAAGGAGAGAGAGAGAGGTTTAAGATGTAGCCCTCTTCCGTCTGAGGCATCGACAGCTTTGAAGTAATTTGCAGGATACAAGTCAATAAATATTAACCCTCTCCTTCAAGGCAGCAACGCCTCTGAATTAATAAAAATAAATAAAAAAACAGAATGCGTAAATAGAAGTGTACAGCAAAAATCTCACATGCATGATATTCACTAACTGTCAATAAAATGATAATACTTGTTTACTTAATGTGTAATAGGTCTCCTTTAACGTGGTGTATAATTTAATGTGTAGGAATCAGGGGCCCCTGAACGAATCCTAAACAATGCCCCCACTGCTCCTCTGTGCTGATTTTTTTTGGGGCTTTCCAGAAGCTTCCATTGAAGTCGGGTTACATTTTTATTTATTTAATTAAATCCCAGATAATATTAACCACGGCCATGTGGCAATTGGAGTTTTACATTTGTATATTTTTAGCTTTTTAATAACTTTTAAAATTTTGAATCAATCAAAAAAAAGACAGTATTTGTTTATTGACAATAAACACACCAGTTTACAAATAAGCAAAAAACAACTTTATTTTTGTTCATATTTATTTATCCTATAATTTATTTATTGATTACTCCAGACACACATTTTGAAACGTTTTGCTAGAAAAGCCTCTGCTGCTGATTTTAACAAGTTCATAAATCATCTGAGGGTAAAGCCTTCCTCTTTAACAGGATGGAAATCAGTTATGAACCTGTTCACCTGTTGTCTTCACTGATATGTTCTCTCCCTTCCTATGACTAACTCCTGTTGAAGTGACACAAACTTCAGATGTCGTGATGGTTTTGCTGTCAGATCGATTTGTGGAGGTGAGTGAATGAAGACATATCAGTGACAGATTCACGTCCTGCTGTCAACAGGGACTCTTCAAATGGCGTGATCCGTCACACTCAACTTACAAACACTTTAACGACCCCAGTTTGAACAAAGGTTATAAAAAGTGGGAGAAAATGATAAGCTGAGAGAAAAAAAAAATCCATGACACTTTTTTTTTGTTCCAAGACCTGCCAAAATATTTAATTTAACACATAAGTATGGTCCTCTGTTATATCCTACACTTGTCTAAGTAAAACACAAGAGGTTTGCCACTTGTACTGTATTTAATTTAAGAGTTATTTTAATGAGAGTTTTTCAAGGCGTAACATTTTGTTTTTCTGAACAATTAAATTTAAAGACACTTATTGGTTTTCCCACTTCAGCAGTAGGCTGTCACAACAGAGTCCCATATCCAAAACGGAATTTAAAGATGATATTAGTACAAGCATAGGGGGCATATCATTTATAGAATCATGAGAAAAGTGACAAAATCACATAGCAAATTGAAAACTGGACAATTGTGACAGGGACGAAAGTGGCTCAGATTTAAGAAAATGACCAAAAGTAACAAAAGGAAAAAGAGACGCTTAAATTATTTTCTTGAGTTTTCTTTACTTGTCTGTTTCCAGGAAACGATTTTATTTAATAAAGAATAACGCCTTGCACAGGTTCGCTTTTGTTAATTAATAGTTTTATTTCATGTTATGCCTTCAGTGTTTGCTGAAAGATTCTTATGAATGAAAATGTTTCCAATAACACATAAATCCACTTCACGCATTTATCCTTGTGTTCTTATACACTCAAACACACTGTTCAAAAATTCTAGTCACATAACCATAACAACAGCAGTGATTTTTTCTTTCCCTTTCTAATGCCTGCATCAAATCAGCAGCGCGACACCTGAACAAACCAAAGCAGAGAGGGACACAAACTGACATGTCGGTCATCCACATGGACCGGCACCAGTCAACACAGAGCCGCACAAACAGATCCGCTGCTAACTTTGTGAGTACAACTTTTTGGAGTCAACAGCGATAAAGAGAGTGAGGGGGCGGAACCCTGCTGAGCCCCTGCGCTGAACGACAGCCAATCGCTTCGTTCTCCTAACTGCCAGTCACCGAAATCCGTCCAATACCCGCAGTGCCATTTCTAAACTGTATTCCCCACTGTGTCCTCCAACTGTTGTATGTTCTGCCAATCGCTTGAGGACAGAGTGGGAAAAGGAGCAAGCAGAGTTAGACGCCGGACAAAAGAACTTATAGAGCCCTTATATACATATTTTCCCAATGTTTTAGAGCGCGTGGTGTGGTAAGAAAAGTAGTGCGCTGAGTGCGGATGGACTTGTTAGTGTAGTTATGGAGCCCCCTTTAAGCAAGAGGAACCCGGCGCTAAGATTAGCGGATTTGGCAGCGACTCAACCCCTTCCTCATCAGAATATGACAGGCTTCCCGGGGCTAGGGGGGCATCACCCTCTCTCCCACCATGCCCACCTCCACCCTGGGGAGCTGGGCAACGACCCCGGAGTGGCACTCACTCCATTTGGACCCGAGCACATGGCACAGACAAATGCTCTCAAACTTAGCCCATCTCAGCACATTCAGAGCCATCACGAAGCCCAGACCGCGGCATCTTTCACTTCTGCTCAGACCACAGTTGGTTTCCCCGTGGCTCACCCCCACTCAGGCTACTCAAGCAGCAGGGACTTCATCCTCAGGAGAGAACTCTCAGCCTCTGCTATGCATGCACTTGGCGACCAGCATAGTTCCGCCTCCTCCCCTCATCACCATGGCATGTTCATCTCCCCAACAGGTGCTTATGGGCACGCGGAAAGTGGGGCCCATTCACTTTTCACTGGACTTCACGACCAGGCGTCCCCAGGTGCCCACCACCATGCCCTTAACGGGCAGATGCGCCTGGGTATACCGGGGGACATCTACGGCAGGCCGGAGCACTTCGGGCACAGGCCGGAGCACTATGGACCCTCTTCCCTCCACAGCTACAACTCCATGAACCTCAATGTGAACATCGCTTCTGCTCCTCACGGAGCGGCGGGGGCGTTTTTGAGATACATGCGGCAGCCCATAAAGCAAGAGCTTATCTGCAAATGGATCGACCAGGAGCAGAATCAGAAGAAGCCCTGCTCGAAAACCTACAGCACCATGCACGAGCTGGTCAACCACGTCACGGTGGAGCATGTCGGGGGACCGGAGCAGAGCAGCCACGTCTGTTTTTGGGAGGAATGTCCGCGGGAAGGGAAGGCTTTCAAAGCGAAGTACAAACTGATCAATCACATCCGAGTTCACACGGGAGAAAAGCCCTTCCCGTGTCCTTTCCCGGGCTGTGGAAAAGTGTTCGCTCGCTCAGAGAATTTAAAGATTCACAAGAGGACTCACACAGGTCAGTGCTTCTAAATGTGTTAAACTAAACCCTAATGTAAAAAAAAAATATCCCCCCCTATCAGAAGTACTATGATCTACCCCGAGACGATCTTGTCTTGCATGAAACAGAAAGCGATCGTGCGTAATTGCGCGCACAAGCCAGTAAAAAGTTTTATTCAGTGACGCATTGGCACAGTGAGGTAACGTGTTTCATTTCCTTTCTGACATTCAAACTCTTTAACTCGCTGAGACGCCTGCGGTAGGCGTGAGAGGATTAAGGCATATGATTTGTAAAACGTGCTTACGTACGTGCAGGACAGCGTTGGAACACGCGTAAATGTAATTATCCTCAGGCGTAGGACGGTTAGAAGCCGAAGATCACTTTCTGTATCCGCGAGGCTCATGCATATAGTTTGAAATTATTTACATAAACCAGATTTGTTCTATTAAAGCACTAGGCTGCAGTTAAAGATCCAGGGTTTAAGCTTTAGGCGACGGTGCATGTCTTTGTAGAAGTATCAAACGGACACTATTCAAGCAAAACAAGTGCATCGAGTTGACTTGTCAGAGTTGCACAGGTCGAGGAAGCGAGTTTTTTTTCAAACCAAACTTTCCATAGCGTTAAACTGTCATGTGTGTTTTTTTTCTGTGGTGGTGTTTATTTGCATATATTAAGAGACGGGGTTTGACTAAGAAGGAGTTTCATTTGGCATTATGCCATTAGTTTCAATAGGCCTGTACACCTGGCGATGATGTTAAATCCCAGGGGAAATAAATAAGTAATCTAACAAAATGCATGTCACCAGAAGGTCCACCTTTTTATTATTATAATCTCAGAAGCACTTTGACTTAAATCCATGTTTTTTTAATCTACTAATTTAGAAAAAATTACATGTTTTCGACGTAACTTTGAAAAAATGCTTATATGTGTATGTGTGTGTGTGTGTGTGTGTGTGTGTGTGTGTGTGTGTGTGTGTGTGTGTGTGTGAAGAGGTCTAACCAACACGGTACATAAACTGTTCCTGGTGGTCTCCAGAGTGCCCACTCCCCCCCCTCACAACATACACACATACGTGTAACCATAAGGCCTAAAGGCATGTTACACGTGTTCACACAGGAAAATGCTTTGGACAAGTGGGTGTGGAGGTGTGTGGCTCTGTGTGGCTCTGTGGTTACATGTTTGGTGAATAAGCTGTGGTGGAGAAGAGGCCCCAGAGGAGAAGTGAAGGCTGTTGCACAGAGCAGTTAATGATGCTTCATGTTGAAGTTATTTAAGGTGGAATGGAAAGAAAAAAAAAAGTTGGTGTAAGAGTTTTTGGAAGGTCCATTTTGATAGGTTGGAATGTAAACTACCTACACTGAGGCTTTAATGACAGTTGTTTAAGGGGTGACATGTTTTTTTTCATCTGTTTCTCATTTCTTCAAAGGGGAGAAACCTTTCAAGTGCGAGTTCGATGGCTGCGACAGAAAATTCGCCAACAGCAGCGACCGAAAGAAGCACTCCCACGTCCACACCAGCGACAAGCCTTACTACTGCAAAGTCCGCGGCTGCGACAAGTCCTACACGCACCCGAGCTCGCTGAGGAAGCACATGAAGGTGCACTGCAAGTCCCCGCCGCCCCCTTCCACCAACGTCAACTACATCTCCTCCACGAACCCCCTCGGAGACCCCCTCTCGCCCAACTCCGAGCCGCACAGGAACCGCTCCTCCAACCTCTCCCCGCAGGTCACCAACCTGAACGAGTGGTACGTGTGCCAAGGGAGCGGGGGTCCCAACCACCTCCACACCCCCTCCAGCGATGTGCCAACGTCAGAGTCAGACGAAGAGGACTCTTTCAGGAACTCAGACCCGAGGACGATGCTCTGATAGCACTGTTTACAACCACTGACTGTCAGACTTTGTAGTTGGCCCCCTTAAGTGTGCAGTTCCAATGCTGGCCCGTGCGCTTTGGGTATCGATCCGTTATTTTCACTGTAGTATTACTAAACGACTGTGCTAAACGCAGATCATTCACTATTATCGTGGGAGCAATAGAGGCCCGATTTCTAAGAGATGACCCCTGAACTCCTAAAACTGTGGCTGAACTCTCCAAAATAAAAGCCCATTCTTGACATTTGGCTGAAAATTGACAAAATAAAACCCTCTTTCTTAAAATGTGGCTGAAACTTAAAGCCCCTGTGAGGAGTTTTTCACTGGTTATGAAACAGACTTAAATTAATACTGATGCATCTATATGACCTACAAAAGCAAACTAGACCATCAATGACAACATTACTATTGCTATATAATAATTAATAATGGCAAATACAACTGTGGTGGGGTAGGTGTCGGATATAGCACACTACAGAACCTGTGTTGTTCATATCTTCCACAACAGAGATTTTCCCGATGAGCGATTTGTTAGCCTGTTAACAGTCAGCAGGATGAGATTTGGTTGTTTTTATAAACTATTTAAACATGTACAGAACAAAATCAGCAAAGAAATAAGGCATATCATTTTGTCCACAAGGGGCGCAGGAATCAACACAAACTGAAAGTTCCTCGCAGGAGCTTTAAACTAAGACTCACATTAGAGCAACAATTAGATCATTTGTTTCTCAGACTGCTATGCAGGCCTGATTACATGAAGGAGACATTATTAGAGGCGACACCTGTCTTATTTTAAATGTCCATGAAAATGTGACTGAAAAAAAATCAAATAAGAGAACTATTATAAGGGTTAGAATTAAGATAATTCATGCTTCTTGTTGGTGTAATGAAGGCCTGGTTACAGGAAGGAGGAAGTCCTATGAGATGATCTCAGATCTTTCTTAAATTGGGGCTAAAAACTGCCAGAATAAAACTCAACATTAGAGCTCAAAATAAATGTTTTCCTGTTTTCGTGGGTGCAATGCAGGCTGAGGTGACCCATGACCTTTCTTAAAATGTGTATGAGTCTTGTGAAAAATTAACCCTTCTTTTAATGACGCTGAAAAAAAAAAATCGAAATTAAACTCATATTAGAGCTAAAATAAGATGATGCACAGACCATGTGGTAGCGGTGCAGGCCTGATTTAAGGAAGGAGAAACTATTGAAGTTGAGCCCTGAACCTACCAAAAAAAAAAAAAATAGACTTCAACTAAATGTAAAACAAAAAATTAACACCTTTCTAAAAATCTCGTGGAAAATTATCAAATTAACAGAGACGCTTGTATTCTTTCGTGAGCTCAATTTGAACGCGAAAAGCATACAATCTAAAAAAAAAGGACCAAAAAAAGTCAACTTGAGAAAACTGCTGAAAATGAAAAATGTTTTCTTCCAGGAGCAATATGCAGGGTTTAATTAACTGCATGACTTAAGGCTGAATTGACATCTTTTACGTGACCTCCCATCATCCCCTTGCAGTTTAATAACTTGCCTGCTATCAATCACTGTCTTATCCCAGACATGTAAGGAAATAAATGGTACCACTTTCAACCCCACTACTGGCAACAAATGCTAAAGGACAGAATGTGGAAGTTTTTTTTTTTGTTTTTTTTTAAACATGTGGTACAAACTTTGATAAGGAAAAAAAAAAAAAATGGGGCAAACATTTTAGTGTCTTAAGGGTTCTCATTAACCTTTTCAGATTTATACAATACATGTGTTGGGATGGAATTTTGTAATATTTAAGAACTATTTAAGACTATATTTTATGCAAAATACACAAGTGTTATGCTCGTTACAGAGTACGAGTACGTCCACCGAGACCCTAAATGTCTACACTGACAGGCTTTGACCCTGTACGATTTGTATATATGTAATTGTACTGATGCTTGTGAATGTTGTGTAGTTTTAATTACAAGAAAAAAAAATGTTGTTTTGTACATTGTAATTTATTTGCTGGTATCAATGTTGTACTGGAATTACAGGAACACCAAAGAATAATAATATCAGTTTTGGTGATGCATAGTACCCTGCTGATGTTTTTTTTCTTTTTCTAATTTTATGTTTAATTTTTTCACTTTTTTTTTGTTAAATTGTGGTCTGTAAAAGAAGAAAACATTGACTTGAATAGGCTGTGTAATGTGAAACGTCCCCTTTCTCGCATGCCTTTTTGTAGTGATCTATCTGTCTTTCTTTTGAGGTGCATGGTGCCATTGGACATGATGGATAAAAAAAAAGGAGAATCAGCTTTGACTGTGCAGACCCTTGATGTTCACAATTAAATTTACAATATAAATTTCATGCTAAAATTAATAAAAAAAAAAACAGGACAAATATGATTACTGATATAAAAGTGTCAAATTATTCAGATGTATCAGAGAGTTTAATTTGAAAAAGTTTTGGGAATAATAGTATCATTGATTTCAGGAAGAATGGCAACACTTTTAAATGGAGGAAGTTGAAGGTGGGATGCTTCTTGTAGACATTAATTATCAAATGTATTCCTGTTTTTGACGTGAAATGCAACAAAACATCCACGTCCTTCCCACTTCAGATGAACAAGTAGAAGTGTTCCCTTCCTGTTCTGTCATGAGCAGAAAATCTCAGCCTGTTATCTCAGAAATAGGCCTGCCGGGCCAAGGAGGCTTCTATAAACTAATCAGCGAGCTAATGGGAAAACTTATAGTCCCCTGATGGCGCTACCTCTGAAAGGCGCGACAGCACAAAGCAGCCGAGGCATGAATCATTCATGGGAAAAATAAAAGATAAAAAGATATGTGACAATGCGCAGGGCCTTGTATAGAGTGTATAAAACAAGTTCCCCCTCTTATTTCCTCCATTAAAACGCACAATCTCACTTTCAAAGAGTTGCCTGTCCAGCCTATAGAATTAAAATTGACCAACGCGAGTCCTGCACCACTTCAAAGGCTGCAGCTTCTGAGAGGAAGGGCCGGCCCGCTTTGACAGTCTTCATGGTGCGTTAGGATTTCTATGGCAATTGGGGAGCGAGACGCTCACATTTGGATGTGTCAGCTTGGAAAAAACACTAACTGCCACTAAATGAAGTAGAATCAAAGCTCAGGATCCACCCTCCTTCGAGAAAATGTGTGTTTAAACGACTACCAATACACCGTTGTGCAGGTGGATGACACGCAAGTTGTCAGACACTTTGGTTGCACCTGTCCGGTAAGAGGAGCACAAATCCAAAAGAGAAATAAATGACAAATGAATCCTTAGAAAATTAAAAAAAAGAGAGAGGGAAAGAGAGTCATACCTTGGAAAAATACGAGGGAATATTTTTTTTACTGAATCAATTAAGACTCAGGAGGCATCTTAGGATATTGGCTATAAAAATGCACACACAATAGGAGTGTAAAACATCTCTAATATTAAACAGAATTTACAACCACTTCAGCAGCATTGAGAGGCGTTTTTACAAAAGAGAAACAACTGCACGTTTGTTCAGCTGTATTTTATGGTTATTTTTATCAATTTAACAGCTGCCCTTTTACCATTTCAAAAAACGCTTTCTGCTCCATTCAGAGTAAAAAGGGGAGAAAAAGGCACTTGTGGGCCTCCTCTCCTTGTATACGTAGACTTTTACTGGGATAAAGAGCTGAGGAGTTGCCTGCTCTTGTTAAGGTCCTGTTTGGAAACAAGAGCTCAATGAATGTAACAAAATAAACACGATGAAAAATAACCAGAGACAGTTCCTCGGGTATTAAAGGGAGGGAGACTTAATAAAAAGGAGTGAAGCAGTCACCCTTCAGTGAGAAACGCTTTGAAGTCCAACTTATTATCTGAGAAATACTTTTTGGTTGTCCTAACGACGCCGCTGAATGGGAAAGGCGCTCCTTTGTCAGCGATTTGTTCTCCTTTAGTGGGATGCCCGTGGAAATCACTTACATGGGCCACCTTAACACACTGCCTGCAAATCAGTAACCGGCGGAGTCAGACATGCAGACGCCACTTTGGAGAGGACAAAGCAAGAAGTCGCAGTGAAAACGCCGCAGCTTCTCAATTGCGCCCTTTAAAGGGGTTGAAAGATAATTTCTCAGACGAGCGTAGAGGCAAAACAAACGCACTCTTGTCAGACTTTACAAGCATTATCCATCTCCTGAATGCCGTGGACACAAAGCGCGTGAAGATGGTTTTGTGAAGTGATCATTTTGGTCACAAAAGTTAAGAGGCTCTGGGAGAAACGCAGGTCACTTGATCCGAGCACCTGCGCCTGGAACACGGCAGTGCGCATGGATCACCTTGACGGAGGACAGGGAAGTGCGCAGAGACAACAAAGAAGAAAAGTCCAAAACAACAACAGAATATTTCAATGTGTGACTTGGATTTAAATTGTTTGTGAGCAAGTGAGCAGGTGTGTTCAGCCTCACCAGCCACCATCCAGATATCAAATCTAGCAGAACAGCAGCACCTTGTGACAGCTTTGGCCCCTGTTTTACGCTCGGTTAAAAAAAAAAAATCACACATTTCTTGATCCTAAATAAGTCAAGTGGATAAACAGAAGTGGTGGACACATTGAAGCACATATTATGTAAATGGTAAAGGGAAGATTATGATATATTTAGATTGATTTTCCCTGTACAGTTATGGCGCTATAAGAGCACAGTACTGAAATATGGGGCCATGTCTTAGAAAAGAAAGTAGTTCCTTTTATTTTTCAGAGGGGAAAAAGTCAGCCTTGTTTTCATGATACCTCATTTATTATTTCTGCTCTGAATTTAATAACTCCTCTTTGCAACAACTGCGCAATCCTGCTCAAAGAAAGTTTTTGATTACGCAAAAAAAAAAAAAAAAATCATCTGAACACTATCAAACTTTGCCTTGAACTTGAGCCACAAACAGAACTAATTAACAAATGTTTCATAAAATGATTATAAACTACAAATACATTTCATGTCCAAGAGCTTGGAGGTAAACACACCTGTTTCTAAACTTCCTCACAGTGTGAACTCTCTGCTTCACATTCTTCCCCTCTTCTTACAAACACAACTCGTTTAACGGCCACATATTTGCGATCCGGGCATTTTGCCAACATTTCCCCCTCCATGCTCCCTACCTGACTACTGTCTTAAGTTTCATGAACAAGTCAGAGAACTACAGTCCCAGTTCTTTTTGCAGCCTCGAGTCAATACTTAAGGAAAGACTGCCTCCGGATATTTTTTTTTCTCCCTTTTTAATAGAAGCAAGCGCGCAGGCTGATTTTGATTCCACTCTTTTTTCTTTTTTTTTTTACTGAACATCCACTCCAAGACTGGCAGGAGAACTCTTGGCAGAAAGTTAAAGGGGCGACCCAAAAACTTATGTATTTTTCAAGGGAGGACTCTTTCCCCGCTGATTCATGCTTATACGGGAAGCTGAACATTCTTTCCCCGGGGTTTACGCACGGACTGTCGGACACGTGCAGGGGGGAACACCGCTCCTCTCTCCAGCCCAACTTCAGCAGCTGTGGTTTCACCTATTAGCCCCGGTGTCTCTCCCAAAGGAGCGCGAGAGTTAAACATCTGACAGTTAGCCTACCGGGGGGGGGGTTTCTCAACTGACCTGTACTTGGTTTTACTTTCATAGGAACTTCATTAAATCAATTACCTAGTGAGCACGTCAGAATATTTTTTGGGGGGCTTTTTATGACAAATGTTTTTTTTCCTTCACATTCTCAGCCTCTGATATCAAAAATTATAAAAGCATGATGGTGTCTAGCTGATTTAGACACTTCTAGAGTTTAATAACCCGCACAGCACACTGTGAAACAGAATTATTCTTGTTCTGGCATTTGGACAGTGTTGTTTATCACCTTCTATTTCAGGCTAAGTGGTACTAAGGAAGAATGTCAGCGGACACATTAACATTGTCCCCTCCCCAACATGTATTCCTTTGTATGGTTTCATTAAAGAACACAGAAGTACGTTTTTTGGATGAAGTGAAACACAACCTAATTATGGTTCAATAAAAAAGCTCCATAATTGTGGATTCATTTATCATCCTGAAATGAAGTTAGCTTTTTATTTGCAAAATGATATATGGGGGGATAATCAAATAAAACAACAGCGAAAAAAATGTACTGATAAGAAAGAAAAAAAAGGTCAGTTTGGAAAATTGCAAAAGCAGGTGCCAGAAGGCCTGTCTTAGATGTGGACATATTTGCAGTATCACTAAGAAAGTAAGCTGTGAAATTGAAAGAAAAAATACTCAGAAGATAAAAATTTGAAATATATATATTTACAAAACTTTAAATATTTAGTCATGGGTTTCTCAATTCCTATTTCTTCTTCAATTATTATGATTTTCACTTGAAAATGAGTAGATGTCCTAATAAGTTGCCTTGATCTATTAACCATATTTGCATCATTTTAAGCCCGCCTTTCAGGACCCAGGTTACTTTTCTTGTTGTCTCTGATGTCACGAGTATCACAGCCACTTTACAGTCTCTGCTATTCAGAGCAGCCTGATACATCACTCAGAACCTGACATAATATCTGGTCGCTCAGTAACATCTGTGGGGGTAGAGACTTGGTGCCGGTCCAAAATGCCCCATCCCAGGACTGGGAGCCACTCCAAGGCAGTAGGTGAGGAGAGCAAGGTCGTCCACGGACATCCGCATGAGCAGGGCCCAGCTACCTGGCCCTCATACAGCCGAGCGGCCAAAAAAGTAGAAAGTAAAAAACGCAGATAAGCGCGCAGAGCATGCTGCCCCGGTAGTCTCTGACTGAATGACAGGGCTTTCCTAAAAGCCTCTAAATGCAGGATGTAGGCTTCAGTGTACTTGGAAACTAGGGCTGGTGGGGTGGAGGTGCAGGTGGAGGGAAATGGTGAACTATATACTCAATCAAAGAGAAGCAGATGGACTTTTTAGTGTAGGATATTTCTGATTTGTGCCCAGGGATGGTACTGCTTACAAGGTACTTTAGAGTGGACTAAAAGAAACAGATTTATGTCTGGCACAAGAAGAACTTTGTGTATGACCCTGAATCCATTTCAGTTACTCCAACATACCTATTTTTTTAATGTTTATGGCTATTTTTTAAGTATGTGAGCAGACAAAAACCTCTTCCAATAATGATTAAACTCCATTCTTTAGCCTTATATTGTCACATGTTATTGCAGATATGATACATACAACTTGACCTGAGATTAAAAAACAGAATGTATAGGGGATTACCATCACCAAAACCATCCCATGCAATCCAAGTATCTCCTTTCCATTCCAAACCAGACATATCTTAAAAACCTATCTATGATTGATCAAAATGATTTCAAAAGCTTAGTGCCAGTCCGCCGTTTAATCCACTCCCCTAGTCCTTTGGCTCATCTTTCTTACCATCAC